CTTTCTTAAACTCCATGGTCAGTCAAGCATTTTCACATAAAATAAAATGAAGGTTGTATTAAATTTCTAATTATTTTTCTGGTGTGTCCCCTATAAATATTATAGTGACACAGAGCTGGACGTGAAGCTTTTTTCTCAAAGACGAAGACTCCAACCTTCTGAGCTGAGTGGATCCTGGAAGGTGTTTGAGATGAGTGCAACACCTATCTACAGTGAGGAGGACGCGACTGAAGATACGGACGACGTACCCTACGTGTACCTATGCACGGAAAACCTGAAGACGAGAAGCCTTCCAGAAAATCCAGTATACTTTGGAGAAGAAGAGATGTTAGACATGCAGGATGCAACTTTTCTTTGGCTTCCAGGAGGTGTCACGAGCTATGTTGATGTGAACAAAGATGGTATCCTCTGTATAGGAGTCGGGTGGTATTCGGACGAGGGCGTGAATCTTGTTATGGAAAGAGATTATGAAATGGATGGGAAACTCAAGGAGGTTCGATGGAAGTCTGAAATGAAGAGAAGGTGGACTAATCCACCACCCATGTAAATTCTCTTTAACCCCTTTCTCTTTCATTTGCTGTTTGATAAGCGTGACTTAAGGTATGCCCTAGTTTCCAATCCATGTTGACACAACTGGAATTAAGTTTTATGCATTGAATTTGACTGTGCAAAAAATAAAAGAAAAAGTAAAAGCAACTTTATAGGACATAAGTAGCCTTAGTCGCTGTCTCACTGAAAATACTTGATTGGGAGTCCATTTCTCAACTATTATGTCCTTTAAAACTACAGTTTCAGTAGAGAGAGTGAAAACATATCGCGTTAGGAGCAGGAAAAAAGAGGATGTGGCAAACTAAAGTGAAAATTGTCTAGTAAGAAAGTGATTTTAATTGGATTACCTATCGAATTAAACTGAATTATTTGAAAATAGTATTTAGGAAACTTTCTTCGAATTTAGCATGTCACCACAAAAACCTCTTACAGTAAATGTTTATGAGAATAAAATGAAGACTGAGGCTACATCAATAGCGCTTGGAGTCAGAAGTCTTTTACTCTTCCCAACCAAATAAAGCTCTTTTGCAAGGTTCACCTTCTTGGTTGTAACAAGATTTACGAATAATAATCAGGCCTTTTCAGCGACAATTGAGGACCAGTTGTTATCGACGTCACAACACAATATGTACTAGATAGAATGGCCTAACTTTCAACCACTCGTGGCAAAACGAGATTGAAAACGATATGAAGGTGATTGATTGATTCATCAATTTGCCTGACCTTATCAAGATTAATCTAAACTTATCGTTAATCTTGATTAGTTTATAGGTAGATATTTAATATACACACATGATAGTATATTTGGATTTTCTCTTAAAAGTTCAAGACAATGTTAATGTTTAAGGCCTTAAGCCAATCGTTGCGTGGCTCTTGTTTGAGGACAACTAGTCTCCCACACAGAGGATAAGAACTAACAGTATAATAATACTTGAAATAATAATTATTTGCGTTCAACTCAAGGAAGCCTCAAACTTATTATTGCAAATTTTTCCTCGTTTCATGTTCTTCATTCTATTACCCCTTTCCCCTCAACACTAGATAGAGAGTATACATGAATCTAAATCGAAGTTTTCTGGATCGCTAAATCAATTACTTTCAGCTCAAAACATGAATGCATATATATGCCAAAAAGAAAAGTATTCATATAATAAAATAACATTTATTTTGGACCCAATGACTCTTTAAGTTTTGAATTCATGCCTCTGCAAGAGAGATGGACCACAAAACTCTGCGGCGGAGGGAGAGTATAACTTACGGGTTCGGGCGAACTCAGTAGCTTTCGTTCAAATCATGTATTTGTCTTAAGAAATTCATTGAACATGTATAAATTATTAATTTAGAACTCAATAACTTAAAAGATTTAGAATCCCGAACCCATAAGTTTCAAATCCTGACTCCGCCTCTTACAAAACATACACTAATATATCTGTATGAAAGGGAAGCAGCAGCAAGGTTTCCGAAAAGGTTAACGGTTTCATTTATTCAGTCATGACCAGTGATTATTCTTCTACAGAGACGTACAACAAATCTTTAAAACAATGTTAATTATGACAAGCATTAGGAGGGTTTGATCTTTGATGTTTCCTATCTACATTTATCTTTTAAATATTCATAAATAAATGAGTATATCAATTCTTCTTTTATACTAATTAGGCGACATTTACTTTCACAAAGTGCGCCGTGTAGTTAGGACCTACCCTCTCTATTGGATCCCCAACAACCGAATTTTTTGGTTCTTGTTTAATTTCAATTTTTTTGGTATCCCAACCGATGTTGGGTACTCGCTTGAGATTTCGGCTAATTTGAATTTGTGCCGTGTGAGGCTAATTAAGGGAGAAAGTAATCCTTATTAAGATTTTTATATTTCCAAGGCTCGAAACAGAAATATTTAGTGAAGGATAAATAATACTATCCATTCCGCCACAAATTGTGGTGGTGATTCCAATTCTAGTTAAACCACCTTTTTACCCTTATTATGATGAGTTATCCATGGACAAATAACCATTCCACTCTACAAAGGTTAGTTTGAATTTGATATACTAACATCTTATCCTGTTATCAAAAACCTTAGACTATTATTTTAGCATTTCAGTTTAAAAAAGAACAATTAAAAATTTTCTTCACCAAAAAGTAACCAAGAAAATGAAAAGTGACAAACCACAGCAAAAGATCAAACTTGCTGTATCATTTTATTTTATTTTATGGTAATATGCTATACCAATTTAATTCAACTTAACAAATAGTTATAAACTTTTCACGACTTAATAGCATGTATTGGATATTTTGTAAAACATGTCTTTTTCTCTTTCAAACTTTTTCTTGTTCGTTTGCCTAGTGGTAAAGACTAAAGACAGTACTAAAGTCTAAAGTCATTTCACCAGTAAGCATTAGAAACTGCAATAGAATGAAAAGATACACATAAAACAAATTGATGCTACTAAAAGGCCACTTTCGACCATCTATCAAGAGAATCTCTTTTAGTTATCTGCATTTGATTTGCTTGAGTTGAGTACAGGAGCAACGGTATGGACTAATTAATTGTTGGATCCAGATCTAGAATAGGGAAGCGTGATTCCTAACCCGCAAATTATAAATTAATCATTTCTATGTGCGATATGAATTATAATTTTATAGTCAACACAATATGTCAATATTTTTTGGGATCCCAACCGATATTCGTACTCACTTGAGGTTGTGGTTAATTTGAATTTGTACTGCTAAACAAGGGGAAAGCAATCCTTACTAAGAGTTTTTCATTACTAAGACCCGAAACCAAAATCTCTAGTGAAGGGTAAAAGAATACTATCCATTCCACCGCAAGCAGTATTGATAATTCCAAATCTGGTTAAACCATCTTTTTACCCTTATTACGATGAGTTATCCATGGACAAATAACCATTCCACTCTACAAAGGTTAGTTTGAATTTGATACACTAGCATTTTATTCCGTTATCAAAAGCCTTAGGCTATGATTTTAATATTTTAGTTTAAAAAAGCATAATTGAAATTTTTCCTTCGTCAAAGTAACCAAGAAAATAAGAAGTGACAAAACTATAGCAAAAGATCAAACTTGCTGTATCATTTTATTTTATTTTTTGCTAATATGCTATATCATTTTAATCCAACTTAACAAATAGTTATAAACTTTTCACAACTTGATAGCATGTATTGGATATTTTGTAAAATTTGTCCTTTTCTCTTTCAAACTTTTTCTTGTTCATTTGCTTAGTGGTAAAGACAGTACTAAAGTCATTTTGCCGGTAAGCATTATAACAGGGGGGATTTACTATAAAACGTATATATGGATAGAGTGGCACCCAAAAGTCACAAAGTGGAAGTGAGTGCCATTGGTTTAATCTTTCTTTTGAAGGCTTTCTTTGGCTTCATGAATACAAGTTCTATTCTTTGTTGGAGCAGCTCTTTGATTTTTTATTTTTTCTACTTATTAAGATTTCCTTTATTTTCAATTGAGCCCTAGGGCCTCACCTCGTTTCCTTTTTTCCCCCCAGCTATTTCCCTCATTTTCTTCCTTTTATTACTTGCTAAGTCTTTCTTCTTCATTTTTTTAACTTTCAGTCCTCATTTTATTTTTTATCATTATACCTTACTTTATGAACAATTATTTTCTATAGGCAATTTGAATTGATTTTAATTAGCATATAATTTTTTTTATTTTTAATGAAACGATATTAATTTATATATTGGAATATAATTTGAGCAATATCTTCTATTGGGTTTTGAAAGAAAATTAAATGGCTTGATTGATAATTGTTTTGAGTTGAATATCATAGGTTGAATATTGAAGGTTTTTCTTTGAAAATAATTGTCATATAACTCAACAATTAAGATGGAAAAATAAACAAAGAACAATACAAGTAAATTAATCTAGTTAAACAAAGAATATATAGTGTAGTTAAGCCACTCTTTAAGCAAATATTTATATTGGAGGCGCTCTTTCATGAAATATTAGTTTTCTTTTGCATTTTTATTTAGAATGTGTTTAAATTAAGCGTTAAAAATTTGAACTAAAATCAAACTTATTTGCTTTGTGAATGAAAGACCTATTCAAATTAACCAAAAATTAAGCGAACTGACCAATTATTTCTAATCTGTCTTTATAGCTAGCTACTGACATGTATAATGTATGCATAACATGGTGACACCCGCAACCTTCGAATCCTGAATCTGCCTCTGCATTAGAAAGTGAAAAAGAATGAAAATATATACATAAAACACGTTGATGCTACTAAAAGGCCACTTTTGACCAATCTATCAATTAGAGAATCCCTTTTAGTTATCTGCATTTGATTTGCTTGAGTTGAGTATCGGAGCAAATATGTATGGACTAATTAATTGTTAGATCCAGATCTAAAATCGGGAAGCGTGATTCCTATCCCGCAAATTTTAAATTAATTATTTTTATTTTACATAAGAACACGACTTAAGCATTTCTATGTACGATATAAATTCTAATTTTATAGTATAAGCCATTATCGATCCAATTGTACGTGTATATAGGAGGGTTTCGACCTTTTCATTTCAACAAAAAGCATTCTCTTGAATATAGATAGTAGGAAAATAAAAAGCACAAGAATGAGCAAAAAGTTAGTGTTGCTCATGATCTTAGTGGCTTCAACTTTATTTTGCGGCCACCAAGCAGCGGTGGTAATAGAGGCCACCACCGACACGGAGATAGTCTCCTCGGTCAGCAGGTCGTGGCCGTTCCCCCGCTGTTGTGATAGTGACAAACAGAAGGTGAAAAAATGCATGACAAATACAACTTCCATAGACGATTGCTGCCCAACATTTAAGAGCATACTTGGTCGTAAATGTCCCTGCTATCGTTATGCCAATTACTTAGATAATCAAGCTTTGATTACTCTTGCTAGTTATTGTGATGTCAAGAATCCATGCATGTGTGAAAAGGTTAGTCATTGGTAGATTTTCTTAGACGGATTTAATTTATATTTACTGATATTGTAAATAATTCTTAACCTATTAATGCATTTCAACCTATTATAGTAGGTTGTTTCTCTTAATTTTTATATACTGACAATGTAAACCTACCAGCAAGAAGACATGACAATGGCCGTCGATTCCACCTCGTCCGTCACGTGGCCATGCCCTCGTCCTCGTCGACGTCCACGTCCACAACCACAACGGAGCTGTTGTGCTGGTGATAAAGCAAAGATAAAGACTTGCATGACAAACACAACCTCCATAGATGAGTGTTGCCCAACATTCAAGAGTACTATTGGCCGTAGCTGTTCCTGCCATCGTTACGCCGAGCAGTTAGACAATCAAGCTTTGATTACTCTTGAAGCCTATTGTGATGTTACCAATCCATGTAAGAAAGTGCAAGTAAGTAGTCAATATCTTTTCCTAATTTGTTGGTAGCTAGAGTCAGTGACGGATCCACAATAGAGTCGTGGGGTTCAGCAGACACCAACGATCGAACCTTATATATCGAATCTATGTATATGTAAAGAAAAAAAAGTATAAATAGGGATAAATATATATTTCAGAACTCACTTTTTTCAGCTCAGAATTCAGAATTTTTAAATCTTGGATTTGTCACAACTGATTAAAGTGCCTAATACTAATGCTTCATGCTGTGTTTCTTGATTTTCAGGTGATACAGCTTCCCCAGTAGGAGATTGGAGAAAATAAAGTTACATGTTTAATATTAGTGAGACACGAGATGAATTCTAGTCCATCTCTCTTGAATAAAGTTTCGTAATGGTGTTCTGTAAGTCATGTCATTTGGATAAAATGTACCTATGCTTTCGCTCTGAGGGCTAAAGTGTACTAGCTGTACCCTTTGAATTATTGAGAACACGATATTCCCTTTTCCATTTGGATAGGATTAGGCCTCATTTTATTAACCTTTCGTTCTCGTTAATTTCATGTTTTTTTTTAACAGCACTATTATATCCATATATCTGTTTTATTTCCTCATTGTTTATTCTTTTTTAACTTTTTTTTTCTTCTTCTATTATATACCCTTGACCGTTTCAGTCTCATCTTTATCAAACCGCATTGCACCGTTACTTCATAAAAATTACTACGAGGAATTAGATAGTGAGATCATTGTAAGCATTTAAATTTTATCGAATCTAAATCGATAAAATAATTTGGACTATATTTTAAATTCAAGATATATTGGTCCAAACAAATATTATGGGATAATATAATTGAATTAATTATATAATCCAATATATATGGATTAAATAAACAAATCTTAATCCATTGGGCTAGCCCATTTAATTGGGCTAAAGTGATGAGCCCACTTCATTAAGCCCAAGATGTCATCTTCTTAGAGACCCAATTTGGTACCACTTGTCAAATGACGTGGCACGTCAAGTCAAACGGAAGAGCCAATAGGATCATGCCACATGTCAAAATGAAAAGGCATGCCAAGTCAAATTAAAAGGCCAATGAAATCGCGCCACATGTGCAAGTGACATATTCTGGCCAATCAAATGCGGCCTTGTCACACTTCAATTTGATTGGTCGGAAAGAGTTTGTTCTTATTATAACTCTTCCCTCCCACAACTATAAATAAGGGTCTTCATAACCCAGAAAAGACATCAGAAGTTATAACAAGAAGCAAGAGAGAGCTCGTGGATCAAACGCCGCAAATTTCTCTACAAGTTTCTAACTTCAAGAAATCAAGTTCAAGACTTCAAGCAATTAAGTTCAAGTCTAAGAAATCAAGTTCAAGCTCAAGAACGGAGAACAAATCAAGATTCAAGGAGTACGAGTTCAAATCAAAGTTCTTGCTAGTTGAATTCAAGATCATTCGTTCGTGGCAACAAATATTGATTCAAGATTAAGCTTAAGGGCTCTTGAATTTATTTACTATTGAAAAGAAGAATCAGAGGATTCATAGAGATTGTATACTCATATTATTTAAAATAAAATACTACAATTGTTGCAATATTTTTCGGTCTCGATTATTTTCTTGACGCAATTTATTGTCTACAAATTCTGGCACGCACAGTGGGACAATCTCTACCTCTCTTCTCAACTTTTCAATCACCAAATTTCAAGAACATCGAAATGGCTTCACAGAAAATTAACTCCAGATCAACTTCTAGTGAGGCTGCTAATTCCAAGTTCTATGCTGATGTGGAAAACATCCTCGATGTTACCTTTGAAAGTTTTGGGCCAGTTACAAGGAGCAAAGTAAGCTCTTTAAGACAACAAACACTCCAAGTGTCGTCCACGTCAACCCCTATTTTCTGATCTTCATCTTCAAAAGGAGCAAGATCCTCTACAAGCACGACCCAAAAAGGGAACGATGTCACCAAAAGGATTGAAAAGGTTCTTGCCCAACTTAGTTTATCTAAGTCCGAGAAACCTTTCATGCAAGCTTATGATGATGACTTGAGCGCTGGATCTACCTTAGTCTCCATTAATGCAACCTCCAAGCTCTATCCCAATAATGATCTATTTCATTCTTCATCCTCTACGGACATCATGCAAGCAATGGTTATTGAAGTTTCTACCGTAGAAGAACAACTCGCAAATTTGACAAAACTAGTTGAAGGCTTGTCAAAGCACGTGCAAGATCAAGATGCTAAACTTTTCAATTTAACAAATAAGTTGGATAGCATAGTAGAAGGAGAATCCATACAAACACCTTTAAATCTTCAAAGGTTACAAGAGAAATGGGACTCCTCCGAAAAGCAAGCAATGACAACTAAGGAGATCCAAGTCTTCGCTGAAGGTCTAATTCCCGTTGAGAAATTGAAGGACTTCATTATGGAGGCTATCAAAGATAAACCTGAGTCGTCGTCCAAATTATCTCTCACATATACAAAGCCGTATACGCAAAGAATTGATAACTTGAAGATGCATGCTGGTTATCAACCTCCTAAGTTTCTACAATTCGACGGCAAGGGAAATTCGAAACAACATGTAGCACAATTTGTTGAAACTTGCAACAATGCTGGAACGTACATTGATTATCTTGTCAAATAGTTTGTTCGATCTCTCAAAGATAATGCATTCAATTGGTATACAGATCTCGAACCTGGATCCATCGATAGTTGGGAGCAGTTAGAGCAGGAGTTTCTCAATCATTTCTATAGGACAACTTCCCATTACCCAACATCCACATCCTTGTCGACAATTGTGCCAAACATGAGATACAGTCTTTTGTGAATTGTTATGTTGGGTATAACCAAGTCCTGATGTATGAAGAAGATGCAGAAAAGACAGCTTTCACTACACCATGGGGCACTTACTGCTACAGGGTCATGCCATTCGGTTTGAAAAATGTTGGGGCAACTTACATGAGAGCCATGACCGCCATCTTCCATGACATGATGCACCAAGAGATCAAGGTATACGTTGATGATGTAATCATTAAATCCAGAACACAAGAAGGCCATGTGCGAGATTTGAGAAAGTTCTTTGAGCGTCTGCGCAGGTATGACTTGAAATTGAACCCTGCTAAATGTGCATTCAGGGTTCCATCTGGGAAACTTTTGGGGTTTATAGTCAGTCGGAGGGGTATTGGGTTGGATCCAACAAAGATAAAATCTATCTGAGATCTGCCACCTCTAAAAACCAAGAAAGAGGTCATGAGCTTACTGGGAAGGTTGAATTACATCAGTAGGTTCATCGCGCAGCTTACTACCACGTGTGAGCCCATATTTAAGCTGCTAAAGAAAGACGCGACGATTAAATGGATGGATGAGTGTCAAGAAGCTTTTGACAAAATCAAAGAATATTTGTCAAATCCGCCGGTGTTGGTTCCGCCTGAGCCTGGAAGACCTTTGTTCTTGTACTTAACGATTCTAGAAATTTTTTTTAGCTGTATCTTCGGACAACATGATGCGGCCGGGAAGAAAGAGCAAGCCATATACTATTTGAGCAAGAAATTTACTGGTTATGAAGCCAAGTACACTTTGCTGGAAAGAACTTGTTGTGCCTTAACTTGGGTCGCTCAAAAGTTTAGACATTATTTGTTGGCCTATACAACATATCTCATAACCAAAATGGATCCTCTGAAGTATATATTCCAGAAACCAATGCCAACGGGAAGTTTAGCAAAATGGCAAATCCTGCTCACTGAGTTTGACATTGTCTATGTCACCCGTACGGCGATGAAAGCTGAAGCCTTGGTGGATAATTTAGCTGAGAACTCGGTTGATTATGAATACCAACCCCTAAATACATACTTTTTGAACGAGGAAGTAAACTCAGTTGAAATAATTCCATAGCACACCAATACTTGGAAAATATTCTTTGATGGAGCTGTAAATGCAAAAGGTGTCGGGATTGGGGTAATTTTGATTTTGCCCACTGGTCAGCACTATCCAGCCACAACACGGCTTCGGTTCTTCTATACGAATAACACTGCCGAGTATGAAGCGTGCATTATGGGCATGGACATGGCAGTTGATCAGGATGTGGAAGAATTTTTAATCATGGGAGATTCTGATTTGATCATTCGGTAAGCCCACGGTGAGTGGGAAACTCGAGACATCAAAGCTTATCCCATACATGTAACATGTGAAAGATCTTAGAAAACGGTTCAAGTCCGTTGAATTCAGGTATATTCCTCGATTCCACAATGAGTTAGCCGATGCCCTAGCTACCATGGCTGCAATGCTGCCATATCCGGGCAATGTCCATATTGACCCGTTGGAGATTCAAATTCGAGAAAGACATGGTTATTGCAATGCAGTTGAAATAGAAACAGATGTTCAACCATGGTACCATGATATCAAAAGGTTCTTGAAAATAAAGGAATACCCCGAGCAAGCCAGCAGAGACCAAAAGAGAACCATTAGAAGGCTTGCCAGCAGTTTCTTCCTAAGCCAAGAAGTTTTGTACAAAAGAACTCCAGATCTGAATCTTTTAAGGTGTGTAGATGCCAAAGAAGCTGAAAAGATCATGAACAGGGTGCATTCAGGAGTGTGCGGCCTCCACATGAACGGCTATGTCCTCGCAAAGAAAATCCTACGGGCAGGGTATTACTGGATGACCATGGAAAAGGATTGCTTCAGTTTTGTCCGGAAGTGTCATCAGTGTCAGATACACGGTGACCTGATTCATGCACCACCTTCAGAATTACATCATATGTTAGCACCTTGGCCGTTTGTTGCTTGGGGTATGGATGTCATTGGGCCAATCGAGTCAAAAGCTTCAAATGGGCACAGATTCATCCTGGTTGTCATTGATTATTTCACAAAGTGGGTTGAAGCAGTCACTTTTAAAGCCGTCACCAAGAAAGCAGTGGTGGACTTCGTGCATTCTAACATTATTTATCGTTTTGGTATTCCAAAAACAATCATTACAAACAATGCTGCAAATCTGAACAGTCACTTGATGAGGGAGGTATGCGAACAGTTTAAAATTACACATCGCAACTCCACCCCTTATTGGCCCAAAGGCAATGGCGCCGTTGAAGCGACAAACAAGAACATCAAGAAGATCCTCAGGAAAATGATTCAAAGTTCTAGACAGTGGCATGAGAAGCTGCCTTTTGCATTATTGTGATATCGCACAACCGTGTGCACATCAGTGTGGGCCACGCCTTACTTATTGGTTTATGGCACTGAAGCTGTAATACCTGCAGAAGTTAAAATTCCCTCTCTTCGAATCATTGTTGAAGATGAGATCGAGGATGATGAATGGGTCAAGACCCGATTGGAACAATTGACTATGATTGATGAAAAGAGGATGTCTGCGGTTTTTCACGGGCAGTTGTACCAACAAAGAATGGCTCGCGCCTACAACAAGAAAGTGCGGCCTAGAAACTTTGAAGTGGGGCAACTCGTTCTAAGGCGTATTCTCCCGCATCATGAGGAAGCAAAAGGAAAGTTCGTTCCAAATTGGAAAGGTCCGTACATTATAAGAAAACTATTGCCGAAATGGGCAATGTACTTGGGAGACATTGCAGGAAATGATCCCGAAACAGCTGTCAATGTGGATGC